GAATAATTCTTTTTTTAATAAAAAACCTTACACTTGCGTCACGCTTTAGGCTACATATTTTCACGGCATTAAACTTAGGGGGTAAATGTTTTGGATAAAAACCTTAATGTGGAAAAGAGACCATAAGGTGCTGCAAACATCAAGAAAGCAAGGTTGCCATGGTTTGTCAGCGTCATGTCATTTTGACATTTGCAATTGATAATTTGACACATGTAAACAGTAAAATAAAATTTTCATAATTTTTTGCGGATGAAATCGCAGGGAAACAGCTAGTGAGCTTATAAAGAATTGTATACACTACTCGATTTAGTTGTCCAAATAAATAGTCGAATTGTCTGCGAAACAATCGACAATCGCACAACAGTTGTGGGATAGTTTAGTCAAAGGTGTGCGTACGCTCTTGTTCTTAATTTAATTTAACTATTAAAGAAAATCTACAAGCTTTTCTAAGCTTAGTAGTAACAAGAAAAGGTTGCATTCTTATGAGGTCATTTTACTGTAACCAAGTCCACTAAGTTTACCATTAGATGGGGAATTAACTGTTAAGTTGGTAGTTACCTTAAGCTTATTCTAAGTTACCATGTAATTATGGCACCAGTAATGCAAGATACAGTTCATTGCATAGGATAGTGTATATCGTTGGATTAAGTTAAACCTTTTTTTATGTTAATTTGTATTAAGAAACGTATATTGAGCTTGTATTTGTATTTGTATTTATATAGAGGTGCACACTAGACGATTTTTAATTGTGCGACTAAACAGTTGAATGGGCTGCGAAACAATCGACAAGCGCACAACCGTTAGATCCGAGTTTAGTAAAAGGTGTGCGTCCGCTCTAAATATTAATAATCCTGTAGATCTGGTAATGCGTAAAAATATATTTGGCATAAAAAATGAAAGACATTACCTTAATGGAAGATTACATACATCAATAAACTTAGCGATAAGTCGCTTAAGTAGAAGATACCAAAGTAAAAGCGGTCAGATTTACTTAAAATATGTATGTTATTAACGTTTCAGGCGCTTAAAGGTAAGTCTATGCAAAGATCAACCATATTATAAAAAATATGCTTTCCACACACAAGTTAAATTATATTTAAAGTACTAGGTTAGGCCCACGACTCCGTCCGCGTGGAATTAAAAAAAGAACAAGTAGCCTATGTGTTCTTCCAGACTATCCTCTACATTTATACCATTTAAACTTTCGCATTTATAATATCAGTCCCTTTCTCTTTACCACCCTTTTTTATAAGGAGAGGATGGAAAGAGGAAGTGGATTTGACAGAGGAGGTTATACATAGGAAGGGGAAATATCCTCTTTATGTGCATCTCCTCTGTCGGATAAGGGTAGGAAACGCATCTGCAATTGCGGATGTCTATTGGCAGCGGTCGCTTCGCCATTTTGGCGGATTCTGGTGGTCGCTTGCTCGTTTGCCTGATGATGAATAAAAAGTATTTTCTAATTGCAACTACATTTCCTGATTCCCAGTTAAAAGTTTCCATAAATAGTTAAACAGATTTTCTTGAGGTAATTCTGTATTTTAGAATGCGTTTACGTAGTCAGCGCGCCTCTTACAATAAATAAAACTCTTGTTACGCCGCCTTCCTTCCATTATTCCTTATGTCCCGCATCCTACGGGAATGGTGTACCACAGAAGGGAAACAAATCTAAGTATTTTCGTAAAATAATAATATTACTTTCATCTTTTCCTTCTCTTCTTTCAAACACCTTAAATAGATTGTGCCCGGTTTAGCGAATACCTTATAAGGACTGTAAAAACTAGTTTCCGCCCGCGATTCCGTCTATGTGGAAATAAAAAAAAGTAATTAGCCTATGTATTTTTCCCGATTATGTTCTACATCTATGCCATATTTCATCGATATCTGTTTAGTAGTTTAGGCTATAAACTCTAACAAACATCCATCTAAACATTCCCATTTATAATATTATTAAGGTTTGAGAAAAAAGATAACATTATTTCTATAAGAAATGGTTAACATATTCAAGTGTAGTATTAACAAGAACTAGTTAATGATTTGGAAATAATTTTATATAGACTAGCTTTCGCCCGCGACTCCGTCCGTGTGGAAAAAAACACAAAAGTATGTAGCCTATGTGTTCTAGACTATACTCTACATCTATGCCAAATTTGATTGAGATCCGTTCAGCCATTTAGGCTACAAACTCTTACAAACATCCATCCATCTAAACTTTCATATTTATAACATTAGTATGATTGTTACATATTGTTGAATGTCGTCCAACAAAACGTTCCCTCAGTTATCGGTCTGGGATCAGATTCTTATATTTTATACCGCGTAATGTTATCCTTGATATCGCCTCAAGAATTAACATTATCTACATTTTGTTATGACCCAAACGTTTTAGGTAACCTCATATTACAATATTTTACATTTTTATTTTAGTTTTTCCGTTTAAAAGCGAATTTTCAAATATTAATTTTATTAATATTAATAAAATTATATAGCGCTTTCCTTACTTGTAAATAATAACTGAACATCCGTATAATATTTATTGAAAATTAAGGAATTATCAATAACTGATTACGTGAAATATAACATGGCAATATTAACGTTTCGATAGAGTTGTCCAATTTCATAAAATATACTATCGATAAATCATTTTCTGTTACAAATGTAAGAAAATTATTCAGACATTCATATTTTACTGATATCTCGTCTCTTTGATAGATGGAATATTTAATTAAACTAAAATATATTCTTTACATATATTTGTTACATTTTATTGTGTAAAAAATCATAATTCACATACATAGTCTTTGCATAAATAAAGCAATTTGTATATCCACAAGGATGTAAGTAATTGAAACAAGAAGTGTTTATAAATAATTGTAGTTACACGATGCCACGTGTATCTGGATTATTACTGCAATAAAGAAATCTATGTAAAATCTATATAAAAAAAATATTACCATTTATCGATGTTTATTGTATCGATAAAATAAACATCACTATATGCAAGTTAGTGAGGGGCTGATTTATATCGGCGTAAACTCAAACGTCATAAACGCAATAATGATAGCGGCACATCAAACGATAATGAATTCTCATAACATTTTTATTATTCAATTCCCTTTATATGATGACATATTGCTGGTACCAATACTATGAGAAAGCTCCAAAATTGATAACCAATATATCCGAAACTTTGGATTTGTTAGGTTAGGTTAGCCTTTCCCATTAAATTGTAAATTGTCAGATAACAATCCAACGTGTAAAATGTGATGAAATATCTGTTTATTACGTTACCTTATCTGACAGTGACGTCATTTTTGAGCTATCTGAGCCTCTATCAGCCAGTCGAGGGACAATTCTTTAATCTTACTATTATAAATGCGTAAGTTTAGATTGATGTTGGAGTTTGTAGCCAAAATTGAACGGATCTCGATGAAATTTGACATAAATGTAGAGAATATTCTGGAAGAACACACAGGCTACTATTTTTTTAAAATTCCATGGTGTCGGACGCGCGAGAGAAATCTGGTACATGTAATATTATTTTCTACGTAACTCGAGAATAAGGCGAAAAGAACAAAGATTACAATTTGGGATAGCAAATTTAACTGCAGCTTACTAAAAAGATAATAATTCAATAAAATGCCTTTTAATGGTTTAATAAATTGATGTAATTGTAAATAAATACACAAGTTTATAAAATAATAACAACTTTATTTTAGAACGAAAATATTTACAATACGTAATTTGTACATCAAACACGAAACAGTATTTACAAATTAGTGATTATTTGATAAACTAGCTATAAAGATGTATATCTAGAAAATTAGGATTTAGTTAAGTCTTTACTTAAATAATATTGAAGATACATTCATATTTTTTTGTTAAAACTCTAACAATTTTATAATAACATTCATTCGTGTACAAATTATTACAATTAAGTACAAAATAGTACAGAAAATTCATATAATTTTATATATCACAATTATATTCGAAAACCAGAAATGCTCGAAGCTAACTTATTCTTTTAATATTCAGTTTATGAAAATATTTCTTAATCAATTTCTAACTAACTGCCATTTTAATCTCATCTTAGTCGAAGTGAGAAATTTTGTGATATCATAATTCATAAAGCGCATATTTGTTTCTCTTAGAATATTATTAAAAAGCAGTAAAAAAAGCCACTGTTCTCATTAGAACTTACTATTTTTAATAATTTTCCATCATTGTGCATATTTTGACAAAAAGATGCAATATTATAGTTTAGTGTCAATGTTATTGAAAAAAAGGACTTTCACACAGAATTTGCAATTATAATACAACGAGATAATGTGAAGAAGTATCGGTTATTTCGGAACTTCTGTATTTAAATCTGATAGTTTTTCAGATTCAGATTTAGAGATTCAAGTTCAATAAATCTGTACAGTGTGCAGTTTCGCGTGTTTGTGGCGGAATCAACGAAAAATTTGCAAAGGAATAACTACCTGAGCTTGCAATACTGTGAATGTCACACAGCTATGAAAACTTACTCTAATTAGGCATACAATGTACGTAAGATGCGGGTTTCTTACCGATTGGGTTGTTTTAGCTTCAGTTGCATATGTTGAATTTTTCTCTACCTTACCGCTTCAGTCTGCCCGTGGACATGTCGAATGCAACTCTGCCGAAATATCGGGAGGTAAAACAACCCAATCGTAGTAAGAAACCCGTATCTTACGAATATTTCGACAGGCGAAAGACTATTTGTTTTAACCGACATTTTAGGCGATATTGACTTATATATTCAGAATTAGCGAATTTTAAATATGAAACAAATAATGAAGTAATCAGCTTTATAGTTATTTTAATTTAGAACCGGAAAATCTTTCAATTGATGTTTTTTGAAGATTTGCTTTATATTTCTTTTCTAAAAATGGAAACTTTAAATTGCTCTTCTGAACATTTAAAGTACAGGCGCTTTAAAAAAATCATTCACCTATCGATTTCTAAAATCAATTTAATATCGTTACACTAGGAATACTAAGTTGAGATGTTTCGCGACCGCACGTATGTGTTTCCGGAGGTAATCCTGCTGCGGTACTTCCCTGTCAGAGAAGCCGCGCGGGGAAGTGTCCAGTGTGCGTGGCGAGGGCGGCGGCGCGCGCGGGCGCTCCGTGCTGGTAGATCCACTTCTTACCGGCTTCCTTACCTTTGGTATGATGGTTCTCTCTTCCATGACGCTCGTGGCCGTCATGTCCACCTGATGATTTGTGGCCCTAGATTCGAAGAAATTTAATCATGTTCTTGAATTAAGCTATAAAAAGCACCAATAACCTAATGGTTTGTGGTACAGATCTTGCGGTGGAGGGTTCGAATCCCATCATTCGATTGTCGTCGTGAACCATATCCTAGCACAAGCTTTAAGCGTAGTTGGGATGGTTAAAGGAAATACTAGTAAATTAACAAAAATGTACTATTATTTTAAAAAAATATGATACCTTCAATTGATTGTATTAAATCTTCATCTTATCCTTATCGTAAATACGGAAGGTCGGAGTTTTCGTCTTTTAAATAACTCTATCATCCGTCATCTCAGTCATCACTCCCTTCATCATGTCACCTTTCACACAATCCATACATCTCTTTGTAGGTCTACCTCTTACCTTTTTATCGCACCTATTGTAATAAATCGAATATTACTTTAAAATTTCTTTTTATTGTTGATTGCCCTTAGAGGGGGCGCACACCTATGACTAAACAATCGCACAACGGTTGTGCGATTGTCGATTGTTTCGCAGCTCAACTGTTTAATTGCACAACTAAAAATACCTCCTCACCTCCATATTAGGTCATAGGCATCAAATCGGAACTAAATAGTCATGCGTTAGTTTAGTCAAAGGTGTGCGCATGCTCTTATTTAATTTGTAACATAAGTAGTAATCTATCAATATTTTATCACAGAAGACTAGCAAATGTGTTGAGTGTTTTTTTTAATAATTAAATTAACAAATAAATTTAGTATGATAACGACTATGAATAACATAAAGCTAGGCTAAGCTAATAGGTTGGTAGCAGTGACTTGATTGTTGAACCGTTAACTTATTCCTGTATATAAATAGAGTACACTCATATGTAAGTAATTAAAATTATTTATAACTTTATTAGTACCTTGTTGTAATGCCCAAATCCGCCTTTGCTGTAGTGGCCCGTGTCACCCTTGGTGTTACCTTCGTGCCCACTTTCGAGGTTTTCTTTTTTGAAGAGCCCACCCTGAGGAAAACATGATAAAATATCATGAGTGGTTATTTTATAGTTGAGAAATGATATGTTTGACACGCTCACTGCGTAACAGGCCGATATCGGCCTGACGCGGTACTTAAGCTGATGCGGACGAAGATAACTATGTTATCGCTAGTGCGTAATGATTATCTTAGGTGTATACATTACATTACATAAAATGTATACTATATAATAATGTTTTTACAAAGCTATAGCCATTTAATCTATCCTAGTACTGGTGGGTCTAAAAAGACCTGCCACCTACTGGCGGATACATCATTGGGGGCACATTTCGGCCCGCCGCACCAGATGAAGAATTATAATTTAACTTGCCGCAGTGAACGTGTTAAACAATCTTTTAGCAATACGAATGAAATATCTATAAAAAATGTAGGTGAACATCACGCAATTTCCGCTACCAAGTACGTGAGTAAAAGACTTTTGTTGAATTTTTCGACACCGAAGTCTAGACATTTAGCAATGTTATATTGTCTACCTAAAAGTTCTAGATTACTACAACCTGTACAAAAACATTCGAAAGAAATGCAATACATTTTGTTGGTTTAGTATTTAATTTTGAACACTAAAATTTCGTAAATTTTGTATTTCAAAGTGATCAAACATTTGACTTTCCAAACCGAGAAAAATTCGGAGTTAACACATATAAAATACAATACAAAATTAAACTGTTGTTATATACTTAACTATCTAACATAAATAACCGTGTACTATATCTCTCTTTATTCTGGAATATAATGTGACAAAGATATTTTAAAAAGGGGATAAACAGGAAAATTTACTAGAAAAATCTTAAATTTTTTGTCAGTTTTATGCAGCATAGATATCTTGTTTTTTATAATACAAGGTGGCAAACGAGCTAGCGGCCACCTGAATCCACCAAAATGGAAAGCGATCGCTGTCCATAGACATCCGCAATTGCAGATGCGTTGCATACCCTTCCTTGACGGAGGAGGAGACGCACATAAAGAGAACATTTCCCCTTCCTATGCATCTCTTCCACCGTCAAATCCACTTCCTCTTCCCAAACCTCTCCTTATAAGAAAAGGATCGTAAAGAGAAAGGGACTTAAATTAGGCCTCCGGCACCACACTCATCAGACGAAACACGGAATTGCTTCCATTTCACGCCTGTCTTCTGTGTAGTCGTGGTATTACTGGGGGCGTGCCCTGCACTGCTAACATATTAAAGCGGGCACTACCACTGTTAGTGTTATAGTATTTTTGTCAGTTTTATGCAGCGTATCTATATAAAGTACATCAATAAATATCATGCTAAGTTTGTCATAACATTACGAATATGCTCTCGCAAATTTTCGTGCTAGACCTCCAAGTGTTAACTGGTTTCGCAAGAATTGTTGTAAAAAAATTGTATAAGGAGTATGTCAGTGGTGCAAGGCTGAATCATTGACCTCAGGTATTAGGTATTTAAATAGGTTTATAGGTAATTTGTAAAAGATACACGACGCCAATTTTCAAACTAAAATACGATATTCTCGACAGCTTTGCTTAAGTTTAGATAGAAATGGCTTTAATATCAAGTGTTATTTTAAAATGATGGCGCCGTTTAATTGCCAAGGTTTCATAACACAAATTAAAATAACTATTTTGAACATGACTTACACCCCTATGTATGAAAAGCGAGACTCGGCATTTTTTCATATTTAATTTTTTCTGTGGGGTACATATTAGGATAGGTTAGCAAGTTTTGGCTAGTTAAAAATATACGTCCTGGACCAAAAAAATAAAAAGTTCAAACCTCCGCGTGGCTCTTCTCGTCGTGATGGCCGCCATGGCTCTCTTCTTCATCGAAGTCGCCTTCCTCTTCGAAGAATTCAACGTTCTTTTCATATTCCTCTTTCTTGTGGATATCGTGGCTGCCTTTTGTGCTGTGCCCTTTTGAGTGCTTCCCGGATTCTTCGTACTAAAGATTAAAATAATAAATTTGAACTTTATGCCATTGTAATAAGGCTTTTACTTTGCACTTTTTTATCGCAAGCGTAAAACTGGTGTAAAGTGAAATTCAACCTTGTCTCAATGGGATAACGCTCAAACTTATTTACGATAAAAATCTAGTCTGCTCTATGCAATTTATCTTTGTCATACCAAAATGTTTGGTATTAAATTATTTTTTTGGTATAAAAGATTTTTGTTTTACCAAATCACTACTGAAGTGTAAGGACTTGCCTGTGTTGTGTTGACGAGGTTAAGGTAACTTACTAAGGGTAAGCATTGAGTACGCAATTTTTTATATTGATTTGAGCAACTTTTTTTAATACCTTGGCGTGCTTCTTGCCGTGCTCTTCGTGGTGGTGATGGCCGTAGTGTTGAGATTCGTCGTGGTGGTCCTTATCGATGCCGCCGTGGTCGTCGTATTTGCCGATATGGTTCTCGCGGTCGTGGTGGCCCTTTTTCGTCTTTGTATCTTCGTGTTTCCCCTGTAACATTTGGGTTTAAATTTACAAGTGATTAATTGGTCGATTAAATTATTAATTAGTGGATTAAATTATTAATTAACAGAGTAAATTGATTTGTTAATTAATTATACAAATTAAAGTGGTAATATAACCTAAGGACATATCATTTACAACAATAATTATAGACACATATAAATAATACTAATATTTTATTAAATAACATATAATTAAAGTAACATTGCTTTTAAAAGTAAGAAGGCTAGAAGTCTTCTAGTAGAAGGGAAAAATACATATGTATATACATATGAACGTTTGGTACACGCTCTCTTTTCTACAACAAATTGGCTTCCTTTAGATTTGATTGCTGTGAAAGACTTGGAAAGGAGATTATAATACAACAGGATTCTTTAATATTCACTCAAGTTTGTGCTCCAAAGATGTGAGTTTTTATTTAAATTTGACAACTGCTTTAATTAAAAACTTTTCTCGCGTTATGCATCAACTCCTTACGATTTGATATACAGTAATATAAAAGTTATTAATAACTATATTCAGCAAGTTACAAAACAACTGTATTCAGTTCTCAACGTCTTATTACGCTAGTTTCATAGTTTCTGTAGAGACATCAAAAGCAATTTTGTAATTACGAAACTTTGATACCGAATACAAAAAAGGCAACGCGACTTGATGCTTGTTGGCGTATCATTTGAATTTGTACGCAACGTCTAGTGATGTACCTTTCTTCAAGAATTTCCTTGTTAACTTCATACTATCGACAAAGACAACCAGTCTTTCTAACATGCTTAACTTCTTTTCAACGCTCTTACTATAATTCTTTTTAAAATCAAACCAGATTTCAGAAGTGTGTATTCAACAAATAAACGTTGTAAAAACAAGCAGTTGAAACGAATTAATAACACTGCATTTAAATTTGACATCCGCACAACACTACCTAGTACTTTGAAATCTCGAGTCGAGATTTCTCATTCACGCATTGTTGAGCTGTTGTTTAATTAAAACGACTGTTCTGCGCTCGCTAACCGCGCCACAATCGTACCAGCCTAATTGACTTGTAAACTTCGTCTCTTGACGTAGACTATAGAGAAATGGACTAGGCAGACAGTTGATGTTGCAATAAATTATTTCTGCCACTTCATGCATACACTAACGGCTTATGGACATACTAAAATTTACATTAACAAAACTCGCACACAAATATGCATGTGTATTATTGTTCGTTTCCATTTGAAGAGGGGAATACCTGAGTTTAACTGGTCTTGTCATTTGAAAATCAAAGCCCGAGCCTCTACTATTCCCTAAAGTCCCGTACCGCAACATCTCTTCCAATTTATTATTTAAAAATCAAATCGTACACATTTCACGTTTTAACATCTTTTATACTCTTTAAAATTTTTACGCGTAAAGTTTGAAAAGAACATTAATAATTTACAAGGTACCTTTCGAGAAATGTACAGAATAATAACATTTTTTTTTGTGAATCTTTAATTTGAAACTTTTGTTAAAGTAAAGTGAAAATCGTATAGATTAGTACCTTACAGTGTAAGGTAAAGTGAGACAAATTCATTTCTAAATGCTTAACATTGTTATTGAGTATGATAAGTACTTTTTGGGCAAATAATCATTAACATCTTCATTATTTAATTACAGTTTTAATGTTAATAATTATATATTATTGTATTAATTTAAGAGAATCATTTGCATTGATACATTGTAATATGCAACATTGTCCAAAGTGATGCGGAAACAATAAAATAAGTTCATCAACAAATCAATTGTTTGATAATACAATTGTATGAGATGTTGGCGTTTTTGAGGTTTGATCAAATGTTGGCCGATTGGTCATAGTTTGCCAATACGTAACAATTTATTACGCAAGCGATATGTCATCTATGACGTCACGTCTAGTCTATATTTTCTTTCCATACAATAATACGGGCAAAACAGCAGTTCAAATTCACTTTAATTAAATTAAGGCAAAAGCGTTTCATTAAAAGAAAGTTGACAATAGTTGAATAGGTCAGCGAAAGCGTTGGAAGAAAGCGTTCTTAATGGAGGTTAAATTTATTCCATTATACTTTCTGAACATTATTAACTGAAGTTAGTAATTGTGTAATCAACAATTATACAATCGTTTCTGAACAGACCTTTACAAGGACTTAATAAATTAAAGACATTAAGTTTTTAAACATTTTCCATACATAAGAACATAAAATATATTTTTCTCAACACAGTTCTGAATAGCAAGTCTATTCGCTAGCTGTCAAGATTACTAATAAAACTAGATTAGGTAGCTTTCTAAATATAATAATTATTAATCAACAGATTAAAACGAATTAATATCACAATTAATTAATTGTACAACATAGTTTTAATTACAAATAGACAATATGTTGGCCACGATAACTTTGAAGTTATTATTAGTTACGGACAAACCTTACCGATATCGTAATATAAATACCAGTGAAGCAGATGTGAGAAATTTCCTCTCCGCAAGCCAGCACACTCGTGCGGGGCAATAACCTTTTAGAATATGCTCAGTTAATTATTTTTTTATATGTTATTTTCTTATATTATCTTAAGTAAAGCCTATAATATACTTCAATAGATTTTTTATTAAAGAAAATTATCATATGAGTACAGTTATTGTAAGGTAAACGGCCTAGTTCATGTCCAATGTAAGATGATTCTTATGCGTGGACAATAACTTGAAATGGCGTCACATGACGTCACAGTCTTTATGAGGCTGTATGGAAATTTACGTATAACATATTCTAGATTTTAAAATTACCTGTCGTACTAGAGATACAAAACCGCGGGGGGCTAGAGGTGTCGAAGCAACGTGGGCGGTCGCTCGTTTTGATTAAAGTTAAATGAACGTGTTATGAAGCTTTGACTAACGAAATTTATAGAGGCGGCATTTTTACTTTAAAAAAGCTATCTTATAAATATGGTACTGTTTTTGGTCTTGTGCTTTACTTAGATTTTTAGTTATTACTTATTGGGCAACTAGAACTTTGTTTTAAATTAATTATAATTTTGGGTTTAATTCGCTTATATGACTGTCCCCTGAAAATTTTATCACAATCTATTTTATATTATGCCGCGTCTGTTCTTTCGTAGATCATAGTGAGCGGAGGTTGCCTCACGGGAGCTATAACGAAAGGGTTAATGTATGAATTACGGCTTAAATTATGCATTTTAATATTTGTCTCTCGATCCGCGAGTCCTGGCAAAAAATTAACTTTATTAAAATAACTTCGTCAATTAATCAAACTTTTACTTACTCTTTCTTTTTTATTTTTTATTAAATAATGAACATAAGTAAACGTCAGACTATTTTTTTAATCCAAATATGCCTCATCATTTCTAATATCAGATATTTAGAATAACATTTGTATTTGTCTAAAACCACTCTTTATAACCATAACCTATTCGATCTGCTAATCTTACCTCGTATGCCTTTTTCCCATGCTCTTCGTGTTCCTCTTCATGCGAAGAGTGATGTTCCCTGCCGTTACCTGAATAAACACAATAGTAATAAATAGTTTTAGTATGCTTTAATACAATAAACTTAGAAATATACTTTTGAGGAACAGACATTATGAATTATTTTTCCATTTAGTTTTTACCGATATACTTTAAACTAAAGAGAAACTGCTCGAAAATAAGAAAATGTCTCCGCCTCTGTTACTTATCGTATTCAAATCTAGTTCAGAACTATAAAATAATAATCAAAGATTTGTACGGCGTCTGCGGGACTGATAGGGGTATATTGTCTCAAACATTTACGCAATCACAAATAAGGTGACCATGAGTTAAGATCATTTGAATTTTATTAAAAAACAATAAACAGATCAAACGACAGATAATAAAATGAGAAGCATGTTAGATCGATTTATAAAACCAATAACTGGTGCACTAACCCTATATAGGGTAGTCACGATGACGACCAAATTTTCAGTTACATTTTTTTAGTTTTAATGATTTCCAGGAATTCCTATTCCATACTATTGTTTTGTTTTAAAGTCAAATAGAAACAATTTAAGTTATTTACAAGGGTTACAGTCTTTACAGGTAAAGCTTATGAGCAAATAGAATTGATAAAATTGCTTAATTTTTGCTTTTAAGGGATTTCTTTGCATAAAATATGTTTTTTCTTGAAGGTATGTAAATGTTTTAATACAAATAATTTTTTTTTTTATTAATCTAGGAACATATATGAGACTTCGGTTTAAATTAACATAAAATTGTAAATACATTGTACGTCTTTAGTCATTTTTATTTTGTGATTATTAATATTGTCCTACGAATACGAGTAATATGGGGACTCTATTCCACGTTTACTCATCTCTGTCTATTTACTGAATTGGAAAGGCATTGCATTTGAAATCGTTTAAGAAAAGAAATGCGTCTGTGATTTTTTCCTATACTTGTCTAAAAGCGTTAAGAGAAAAGATACATTGTAAAATACGCCGGTTCATAATCTTTAGATTATGATAGATTTATCTATATTGCATTTATATGCATTGTAATAACTCAAAAACTACTAGGCTGATTTCTAATTTTTCACAATTAAAAAGCTACGTTAGTAAGTAACATAGGCTATGTTTTTTATTATTGTTTAATTTCATGCGGGCGAAATCGCAGGCAACCGCTAGTCGTAAGTAAACTAGTAAATGTTTTATTATAGTCAGAAAAACCAACATCTTTTTTACATGTTTCGTAATCAGACAAAAACGTTCAATGGCTCTTAGAGTTCAGGAACCTAAATGTCTTTTTCCACTAAGAGTATATTCGATTCGTTGTAGAGTAGTTTCTGCGACATGATAGTGATTGCTTTAGAGAATGCGGCCAAAGTCGCGTCACCAGCCCAGTGGAAACACTAACCGTGTCGTATCGATTGATCTCGACACCAACGATCCATGACTGTTTGTTTATGACGGTAGAACGAAATTCAATCCAAATTGATATTAACTTTTCTTATAAAAAGAAATCTATAGCCCCGATATCGTAGTGGTTCAGTGGTTTAATACTTAAATTTGATTCCTAGTCCTGTTTCCTAAATACGTGCTGTCTCATATTATTATTCATATTAAAAATAAATGACAAATTATAATAACAAACCGATCTTTTTGTTGCACAGATTAAACATTGTTATAATAATTCTTTGACAATCTCTCATTGAAAGTGATTCACAAAAATTCATTGACCTCTTGACAAACACAATTGCATTTTAACCGCAAATTCATTTCGTCAACTTGGAAAAGATGTTATTAATAAATAAATTGAAATAATTTTAAATCACAAATATTATAAAAAAAACTAGAATAAATAAATGATAACAGAGATGCGGTTTTTCGATTTTTACCAATTTCTTTAAAAACGGTTAGTGTTTAACACTATGTTAAGCGCTTTTAAATAAAGGATACAATTTTTTAAGTAAAATCCGAATTAGAAATCAATAAACTTATAAATAAAATTCAATAGTTAACTACTCCAATTAATTTAACAATCTTCTTCATCTGTCTTATCGTTCTCGTGTACGGTCGGCGAAACAGGTTTCTCTCCTCCACACATAAGTCTATCATACGTGTTTTTTGTCGCTAGCAATGCATTTATGCATGTAGGACTCCCGTCCTTATAATTTTCGGTCGGACTACCCACTAAACCCCGCGGTGTTCTTCGCCTAACCGGGCCGTGGCATCTAAAGTATATCATACGTCATCTCAGTCATCACTCCCTTCTTCATGCCACCTTTCACGCAATCTTTTTTTTTCTTATTAGTTATTATTTTTTAACTAACTGGTACTAAATTAATTCTGTCTATTATTTGTATAGTGAGAGCGTCTATGTCGCGTTTCTATTTCACCACGTTTGTGAAACATCCCGATCTCAGTTCCGTGTTATCCGTGAAGGTTAGTTTTTAACGCTATATCAATTTCCAATTCTCACAAAAGTTTTGTAATATGCAAAAATCCGTAGCAAATCTGTTTCAGTAGTCATTAACTATTTGCTAATTTTTTTTCATGAATTGGAGTTTCTTTTTCTCTTAGTAACAAGATATTAGTATTACATTTTAGTTTACAGCAACTAGCTGTTGCTCGCGACTTCGCCCGCGTGAAATTAAAAATGTTGCCTTTGTTACTCACAGGTAAAGTGCCTTTCTAAGGGTGAAAGGATTTTAAAATCGGCCCAGTAGTTTTTGAGTTATTTCCATACATACAGAAATATAAATCTTTCCTCTTCATAATATTAAGTATAGATTACGTACTTCTATTCAATTAAAAAGCTTTAATTATATTAATAAGTAAAATGAGACCTTTTTAAGGAAATTACGCGAACGGAAAAGCATAGACAAGTCATAATTTTTTAATTAAAAATTAAACGCAGCAAACAAAGATGACTGCAAAACCAAAAACAAAAAGCGATCAGAACCGCAACAGATTATGAATATGATAATATTTATATTACATCTTAATATGTTAGCTGTGTGTGTTAAACTAGCCATAGATAGAAACAGATGTAAGTTCCCACCTTTGTTTAGACGACTTATTCTATTAGACAATTTCTGAGAAAATCAGACACATAAACTTCTATAGAATGTTTTTAAAATACAGAATATATACCTATAAATAGATCAGTTATTATTAATAACATAGAAATCTAAACATCCCATGGAATATGCCCATAGGAATTATTATTCCACATTTGGATTATAATAGCCTAAGTACTAATGAAGATATTCTACAACATGTCTGCAAAACTAGCTAGACTAACTAGACCAGACAAGATGGAAAATATAAGTGGATTTTTATGTCTATTTAAAGGGTTTCGTTATCCTGTAAATCCCTTCTGTCCATGTTAGACAACGAATCTGCAATTATCGGCTACTGGCTGCAAATATTTTGCAATTAAAAAACAACACAAACACGTTTAGGAGAAACGTTCTAACAAAAGTTCATTCATTATTGAAAAGTTTTTAGTTTTCTCATGTTGGTAAGCCTGTAAGATTAATTAATCCGAACATGTTAAAATCAAAATAACATCAGAAGTGTAAAAATCGTACCAATTTAAAGATGCATAGATGTTTTTGAAGACACATATAGTTATGGTTTTGCTAAATCAAATTTTCAATAGACTTATTTCTATTTCTGTTGCAAGCATCCACACAGAAATGGAAAGGATTTAACACATTTTTAAATCTTTAAATGTCACACTGATAGAAAAAGGACAACGTAGTATACTTTTAGTTAATAAATGTATAAATGTACACTAGTACCTTTGATAAAATCTTCATTATTCGCTGATAAAAACACACACATACTATTTACAATAATTGTAGAATTGCGTTATTAAAATAAAAACGGTATATTGCTCACTTCACATCTTACAATCTCATTCGCGCCAAAATCCTTGTTGTTTTTTAATCCAAAATTGTTTATGGCTTTCTTGGCGGCCAGTACGATATAAAATATTCAGCCACAATATTTTTGCATCTTAAACAATTATGATTTTACAATTAATTACCTTATAAAACCTTAGAATATTTAATCTAAATTATGCTCCTACTTTTAAATGAATAAAAATATATTTACAATTGTTGTCAGCGCCATCTATTATCGATTTTTGGGTAACCAAATATTAGGAGCAATTTTTTAGTAAATCCATTTTTTTATAGAATTACGTGAATAGACACAATGTTCTTATCAATTTACAAAGAAAGTCAATTTAGTAGAAAATGAAGGACAAAGCTAAAACATCATAGGGGATCAGTTTGATAAGAATCCGAGAGAAATTTGAAGCAAAATATTTTTAGCTATATGTAACAGTTTCGGGACAAAGAAAAGAGCAATTAAGCCTGATGTAAAGAATCACGTGAATCCTTAAAAGAGGAAATTCATTTGTTTCTTGGCTTTAATAGTAAGTATTCATTCATACATGTATTATAATATTGGCATCTCTATCATACTCTACTAAAAAACAAAGGAAATTCGACAATCAAATAACTGTTCCGCGATTGTCGATTGTTTCGCAGCCAATTCAACTATTTAGTTGCACAACTCAAAATAGTGTGCTCATATGAATCAAAGCGAGACTAAATAGTTATGCGATAGTGTAGTTTCAGGTGTGTGTACACTAATCCTATCCTTAAGGCTGTACTATCAACACTATAAAAGACGAAAGATTTCCTTTTTTTAATTTTGTATGTATTGAAATAACTCAAAAACTACTGGACCGATTTCAAAAACTCTAACACCAATAACAAGCTACGTTATCAGTAACAAAGGCTAATTATTTACAGCCAGTTTTTTAAAAGATCGCAAACAAGCAAGCGTCCATCTTTATTTGGTGATATAAAGTGATCGCTGTTCATAGAAATTTGTAGTCATGCGAAACTTTAAACTATGGAGGACGATATCGAAAGAAGTTATTGGAGTCATTTCTAAAAATATAGTTATAGATATCAAAAGTTTTGGGGCAACACTTGACACTCATTTTTTGATAATACAGATAAAAATAACGTGATTTAATGCATATCGGATGTCGAATGTCAAGCTATCAGTGATTGTAATAAATAAACATTTGATATTTGTAATACAAATGTATTAGATTATTCAACATTACGTGGAACTGTCCTGTATTTATAGAAACAGGTGGCATTTATAGCCGAATTCCCAGCTACTTTAACTTAGATATTGTTAGGAACAAAATTAGTACCGTGCTATAGAATTGGCGCAACTCTAGATTATCGGCATAAACGTCACATCCCTAGCTGACTCTGTCAATGTCACTAGAAGTATGGATAGATTTGGCGCGCATCCTAAGTCCTGACGAGAACTAACCTGTTGCTCTGAGTTTAAAGCGACAGTATCAACTAAATAAGTTGTCTAATAATATTAAGTAGATATAACGAATGGTTAACCTTTCGTTAGTTTATGGGTCGATAAATTCTTGATATGGGTTTCCGAACTACGTAACGCGAGTTTTATTCTTTTGGAATTTAGTTAAATCTAACACTAATGAATCATGTTTATTAGAGTTTGTAGCCTAAACGGCTGAACAGATTTCGATGAAATTCGGTATAGATGTAGAGGATGGTCTGGAAGAACATATATATCTGGAAGAACATACTCACTTTTTTTTTTTGATTCCACGCGGACGGTGTCGCGGGCGAAAGCTAGTGATAAAATAAATGAAAACGAAGCAACAGCTTAATGTAGTGGAAATCTTGAAAACTAGCATAATAGTAATGATGTTAAAGCACAGTGTAAAGAGCCCATTTTTGACAATTCTTCTTCGTAATAGACAGTTAATAGTTTGTGATGAGTTGAGGAAAGATGGAAGAATTGCAGGGAACATGATTGGAAAAGGAGTGAAATTAAACCTAAGATAAAGACATCTGGACGGGAACTAGTACACCGACCCTTCAAAATGTTTGGATGAGGACAGAGAGATAATACACACAATGTGAAGAATAAACGATGTTATCGCCTGCTTCATACTCTTGTACATAAAAATCTCCAACCAGCAACTTAAAAGAAAGTGTTGATACCTTTAGACGACTGTTTGATCAAAATGATTCATCCCAAAGTTTATCTGAATGACAAGATTGAATGCATGTTTTGATTATATAAACGACGCCTTGATCAGTATAAACATGACATAATCGGTATCGCAAGCATTACGTAGTCAATGAAGAGTTACAGAATATGCAACGGTAAACACTAAAACGATTACTTTTGTTTTTATGCGTGGGTATAGTCTAACCGAGATCCTACCTGATGTGTTCTGATCGAAACATCTAGAAGTAATATCTTTATTGCTAGATTGTACAACGATATATACGTCACCAACTCACTATACGCCCCCACTGAGGGGCTCGGAGCCTACCCTAAGTTTGGGGTGACTAGGCTATAGTCAACCACGCAGGCCAAGTGCGTGTTGACTTCACACATATCTTTAAATTTCTTTAGCGGTATGCGCAGGTTACATCGCGATGTTTTCCTTCAACGTAAGAACGTGGGGTAAATTATGTACATATGAATTCCGAAAATCGAAAATCACATTGGTGGCGGGATTCGAATCCAAGACCCGTAGATTACAAGTCAAGTGATGGTACCCCTTAGTCACCGATGCTCCTAACGGTATATATTTAATACAAATTAAACATTACTTTACAAATTAAACATTTACATACGTGTGAAATGTAAATACAAATACCGGTAAATCAGATACAGATCAATTCAATAAGCATCTAGTTTAACCCTTTTGTTTTTTCTAACTGTCGTTAGATTTGTTTATTTTTCCGCCTATTATTCCTTGTCTTATAGTAAATAAGCAAATTCCTTAACTTTTCTATGTAATTCTGTAATTCATTACATATATTCTAGATCGAAAGCAGTATAACTTATGACGTAAAATTTCACATTGAATTAAACATGAAATTATTCATTTCGTTAGTGTTAGTGAAAAAACTCTAATAAGAGACTAATTATTTACCTCTTTCGAATTCGTAGTTTTCAGGTTGTTTCTTTTCTTTCGCGTCTGTAGCTGATGAGACGGGGTCAGTGATCGTGTTAGTGCTTTCGGACACCACGGAGGCGCTGTGGGCGGTATCCGCAGCCGACGGTATGGAATCAGCTGCGGTGGTGTCAATTTCCAAAGCAGTTGTTTCTGCAACTAGAGTTGTTATCGTCGTAGGAGTTGTAGTCGTTATATGTGGAGTCGTGTGAACCTCAGTATGCGTCGTCTCAGGTGTTATGTCATCCTGAAACCGGCGGCCCAATCTCTTTTTCGGGAAGAACAAAGTTGGCTCACCCTCCTTTGAATCTTTCTCCTCTGGCACTAATGATATTCTGACACGACCTTTATCTTTCGGATCTGCTTCAAGGTATTTCGATGAGAATTTTTGTGATGTCTCATCTTTGGCATTTTTATTCCGTTTAGGTTTACCTGTGGTCGGTTTCTCTTCGCTCTCCTCGTAATCTCTTATCAAGAACGCATTAGGGTTAGAAAACAATGAGAGTTTATTACTCGGCGGCGGATGTTCCGCTGCTTTAGGCTTTGGAGTCGTTACAACAGATTTCTTTGCGACAATTTTGTACTTATCTCTAACATCTAACATTTTTTCGTCATATTCGTCGTACTCGGAACTTCCCTTTCTCCATTCGGGCTCTTTTAGGTCGTATTTGTCGTATTCCCTTCGTGGAAATCGTTCCAAGTTCCTTTCTTGTTCGTCCTTAAATAACTCTTCCTCTTTGATTTTTTCAGATATTTGTCTTTGTTCTTCCTCGTGGCGTTCTTTTAATTCATCGACGCTGTCTAAAATTTTTGCTTTCTTTGCCTCGGATTCACTTTGATCCAATTTTTCTTTGCTCGTTTTGTCTTTATCTTCATAATCATAGTCATCGTCCTTTTTTGTATCCGTGTTTGCCGCTTTGCTTTCACTTGAAACATCATGTTTTTCACCCTTCACCTCGTCTAGTTCTTTCAACTCTTCGCTGTCCTTTTTGTTTTCACTACTTATATCTTCTACACTTTCAAAGTTTATTTTATCTTCAACTTGTGCGGGGTTCACTTCCTGTTTAGTTATAATATTTACTAATCCCTCGATATCTGCCAGTTTCGCAGGATCCGTTTTATCCTTTTCAGATTTAGTAGCTGCACTATGTACTATATGAGGGTCAGTGGTCCCAGTAGCGACCCATTCTTTTTTATCAAAATAATCGTCACTTCCACCCTCTTCTTTTTCGTGGTAGTCATCCACTTCTTGATCTCCTTGGGGTTTCAGCACAAAATTGGATGGTAACGCCAATCTCTTTTTGGGTTTTTTCTTTACAACGTCAACAAACTCACCCAATTCTGCGCCATGTTTATTCTTGAACGGAACCCAATCCGGAAACAAATCCCCATTTGCTTGACGTTTATTCACAATTCGTTTATCACTCGTAGAGCCAATGCTAAAGGAAGAAGAATAAGTGAAAAGTAGAAATAGAAGATACGTAATGAACATTTCAGTGCTGAAAGAGCTCGAACTCCTCATGATGAGAACATTACTTATTAGTAAAGACACAGCGCAAGGTAATGCCGAGGCGGGTTCGCGACGCGGACTGTAGCCATTCGTTAACCACTATTATTTATATTGTTTGTAAAACGAATCTCTCCGGTAGCGACGGACGAAAGAATGGAGTGGATCAATTTTAAATATTCAAGTCAAATAGACTAAAGTTTAAATTTAATGAAGAGGAATATTCAATGTTTTACTATGATTAATCGATAGTTTTTAAGGTAGAAGGTATTATTACGAAAATTTCTGAGGTTTTAACAGCCGAAGTGTACTAGAAAATTTCAAGAAATTTTTGACATCGAAATATTGAAAAGATGAGCAAATCATCTTCAAAAGCGTTATTTGCAATGTTACTTATTTATGTTTACCTATATTAAATTATGTACTTAACGTTACAAAACCCAAGGAAATATTTAATACGTAGAACATTTTTAAACTTTTCACTTCAAAACAAAAAATGTATTAGTCGTATCCATATTAAACTTTAAAAGTATTTGTCAAGTAGTCATAAAATGGAACGATTCAGGCGGTAACCTGAGGTTTTAAAATTGTTTCAGAGTAAACATTCCGACTATATTTCAAGGTCATGCTACTCCTTTTTGAGTTAGGTATCATCTTTGTTGTCGAAACACCAAGGTCAATCAATCTTGGGTAATAAAACCATAAATATTTTGTTCATAAATTTAATATATGAAATACCGAACATTAGCATTTAGCAATACTAAGCTTAGTTATTTAAGTAAACCTAGTTATTCATAAAAACAAAACAAAAGAGATCTCGATTTGATCTTGAATCTTCAATTGTTTTTGGGACTTCAAAATTACTAGAAGTCTGGCCATGTCAAGAATGCTGTAAATATTAAGGAACTATAACTAGTCTATCTTCATTAGTGTTTAAAGTTACCGTAGATTTTCAGTGTTATAATAACTGATCTTCTTCAGTCTGTGTAAAAAAACAGAAATAGCAATAATGTTTACTAAAGTCACGTTAATTCCAAATTCACGTTTACAAAACACAATTCTTTTTGATCACACTCAAAGTAATATTTATAACTAGCGGTTGCCAGCGACTTCGTCCACACAATATTAAGATAAATAACCTATAATATGCCCGTCTATGTCAGCTAGGCTTCAGTGAAAATCCGGCCCAGTCGACCCAGACGTTTCGGAGATTACCCGGAGTAAACGCGGCTTGCGGACAGACAGACAGAAAAAAAATTAAATGCAGTTTTCGTTACCGCAAATACATCGTCCTTCCAAAATCTGGAATTTTTATTTTGATACTACAAACAGACACTCCAATTATATTACATGTACAAATATTTGTTTGTTTCCTAAGAGACATCTCTATCAGGCTTGAATACATGTTGCAAGATATTAGCGAAACACGAAACTCTTCGTGAATCATAAACAAATGGTAGAGTTATTTTCATGCAACAATTATAATTTATATTACAAATGAAATGACAAACTTAAGTAACTAATTCGTAAGCTTCAATTGTACAGTCATCAATTTAAAACTTCTAAGGTCATTGACCTACGGTTCTTGTTAGTAATGATTCAGATTTAGTTATAAAAATCTATTTATTCAGCAGATTAGTTTAGTTTTTTCAAAGTAGTAATAAATGTAGACAGATTTACCGGTGCTACCTACCGTAAGGGGGCGCACAGCTTTGACTAAACTATCGCAGAACTGTTTAGTTGCACATATATAGATGTGCGCACACTACTTGTCTTTTGTTGTGTAAATAAACAGTTGAATTGGCTGCTAAACAATCGACAATCGCATAACAGTTGTGCGAGTGTTTCATCCAAGGTGTAACCGTGTCGCGTGCACCACTGCATTGTTGTCTACCGCTGTTGCAACTGCTTGCAATTGGTGTTGCCATTCAATGCAACCGGTCTCGATGCAACCAATGCAGTAAATGTAACCATTTTTTTAGTGTTTAGATTGAAAATTGAAGCTTATTGGTGTGGCTTATATTTCTGGCGTTTCAATTACGTTTTTACATTAGTAATTATTTTCTAAATTACTCTAATAAACAAGTCTTTGTAATAAGCGACTACATTAAGTCACAAGTGAGGACTGATTTATAGGTCGTACATAAAAGGTATACTTTTCTTCCCTTTACGTCCCCTCCCCGGGTAAATCCACTATCCTTTCCTATTTCTTCCTTATCATAAAATAGGACATGACACTCATGACTCTGCAACGTATTAATTTTGATACTGAACGTGTTTTCAATGCAGTATTTATTTATTTGTAATCTAAACTACTCCAAATTATTCTAGACTTTACGTAAGAGCTATGTTACAAACATAAATCTAAGTAGGAGATAATGTGAAAACTTAAATTACTTTGTGACAATTTATTCGACAATAACAAAGTCGCGACAAAATATTTATTGTAGTCGCTTTATAGGATTCTAAAATTGTAGAAACTAGAACATCTTAAATAAATAATTTTAGATAAATGACAAGAAGAGAGTTGTTTTAAAAAAAATGTTCATTTTCTATAGGAAGTTGGAAACGATTCCTGCCGCTGAGTTTCATCGGACGACATGACAGACCGCCATGTACCATCACTATCTTGATGCCTCGAATTCCATAACCCTGTGATTTTTACAAAACATTCTGATCCAACCGCTTTGTGGAATGGTCTTTCCTCGGCGCCATTTCCAAACCAGTACGACTTAGGGTTCCTCAAGAAGCGAGCCTACAATTTCCTCAAAGGCTGGCAACACGTCTGTAGTTCTCTGGTTTGGATGGCTAATGGCTTGCTGGCTTCCCTGTAACACTAGAGTGTTCACCATTCAACATGTTACATTAAACTTCGTAGCATCATTCTTACTTATCAAACAGATTAGGAAATATTTAAAAAAACATCCGAACATTCAAGTCGATTGCTATTCTATTACACTATCGTTGCGTTTATAGTTTTAAAATACGTGTAACATTGTAAACAGTACGTAACTACCAGACTTTACGCTCTAATAAACAGGTCACATGAAGTAAAAAACACCTAATAATGTCGAAAGCACGTGCCAAAGAAAACATCTGTAATAGCAGGTTTTATTGCCGAGATCGATGTCAAACAATATATTGCTATCACAGTATCTTTAAAAAGAGCGATAAGGATGGCAATGTGTTTTTCGTATTAGAGTTTTAGTCGTGGTAATGTACGTTAATATTCAATGCAAGGTGAATCATTTTAAAGGTTACATTTTCAAAAACAAATTACGTTAATGTACTGTAATTCTATTAGTCTGTGGTCTGGATATTGCAGTTGTCAGAAATGTCTAGATTAAGTTGTTGACAAATGAAAGTTTCCGGTCATTCAATTATATCTAGTAGGAGTTTTACTTTTTTTATATTTTTCTTTTAAAAATACAATGTGAACTTAAAAATAGTTTTCGATTAATAAACCTCAGTGGTTTTCACTAGCATTACAATGACTTTGCGTTTATAAATATTGTTTCATTTTGTGCGTAATGTTTTTCTGCGTTTTTGAAATTGAGGGTAGTTCGTTAACTAATCTAGGTACAATGTGTGCTGTGCACTCGCCGTACACATTTACGCGCCAATAATATAGAACTGGTTTTGTGTTATCGCTCACATGCACACAGGATGTTCCATAATGTTTAAAATTTTTAACTTTTTTTTTAACAATCCATATTTTATTTTTGTATTAGTTTTAGCCCGCAACTCCGTCCTCGTAGAACTAAAGAAATCAAAAGTAAATAACCTATGCGTTCGTCCATACTATCATCTAGATGTTTGCCAAATTTTATCGAAATCCGTTCAGCCATTTAGGCTACTAGTCTTCCAAACATCCATCTAAACTTTTGCATTTAAATTATTAGTATGCTAACTATTATATAAGATTAGTAAGAAAGGTAAGCTTTTACAATGGATAAAGTGTTTTATACAAACTTTGAGTTTTATAATAAAACAATGTTAAATAGTACTAATAAAATCTGTAATAAGTGTTGAATAACGAGAACAATACAATTTTGAGTGTTTTGTAAATTTAATTTGAGAAACAAAGAAATTGTTTTGACAAATGAAACAATCAATTAAAGATTTGTCTCGCGAGTGTTGGAACAGTTTCGCTCAAATAAAACCGCAACCCATCTCTGTCTACTTTGACATTCCTTGTTTCCACTGACGTAATACCTTTATACCATACTCTTGTTCACGACTTCGTGCGCTAAGAATTAATAAAAAAATCTATCCTGTTACTTAGAGATACATCTTACCAATGGTAAAACAATATTGAAAATCATCCTGTGGCTTTAGAGTTTATTCGTTACAAAACTGTGAATTTTTGTTCTTCATATTACTAGCTTTGCCGCGACTACGCGTGGGAATAAAAATACAAAAGTAGGTAGCCTATTTGTTCTTCCAGACTATCCCTTACGCTATACTAAATTTCATCGAGATCCGTTGTTTAGGCTACAAATGCTAACAAACATCCATCCATCTTATCTTATGTGTTTATAATATTATTAAGATATGACTAGGTATTGCTCGCGACTTCGTCCAAGTGATATTTAAAATTAGTAAAAAAACATAGCTATACCAATAACATAGCTTTCTAATGGTGAAATTTTTTTTTAAATCGACCCAGTAGTTTTTGAGTTACTTCAATATATACAAAAATATAGAAAAGCAAATATTCCCTGTTTATGGATAAGTATAGATAATCTCTTCTTTTTTTCTTTTTTAAAATAAATTTCAACTAAGATGGTATTACTTATTTTTTTATTTCATTATTTGTCACGTAATAAAAAGTAGCTAACTAAAATTATTGATTTTAAAATGAAAACAACACCGTCTTTTGTTATTTATTCCGACTCATTTGTTTGACAAATGAGGCGTAAAGTTCCTATGGCTCAAAAACTAATTTCGTTTAATTATGTTTGATGCAATCTACTCGTAGCTTGCCTCTGTTAAATTATAAATTCAATCCACGTGTTTTGATTTGTGAATAGCTTTGTAAGTTTTTTGTAAAAGTAATCATTTCATAA